TTATTGTTCGCCTCTATAAATACTTTTCGTTCATCACCCATTGTGTACTTCACAAATGCGAATCTGTAAAACACAGTGTAGGAATGTGTTCTGGTGGTAAAAGCTGCCATTATAAAAGAAGACGTGAAAGTGATTCCCTGGGTCCTGGACAATAACACTCCAACCAGAAGCCACAAGAGCAGAATAAAGTCCCCAGAGTCAGGAATGGATCTTTAAAAGAATTTGATTTTGTCTTCTTGTTCCCCACATTGTTTCAATGCTATGTGCGCATTGTAGAAAAGGGCTATATTTTATTAAAAATAGTTCCCTTCAGCATTATAGGCATGTCATAGGCATAGTTTTCAGTTCCATTTTAGAAGATATATTATCTTTGATTCTTAAAAAGATAAATGCTTTTTGAAGACAGTATGAAAAATACTTGAAAACATGAAGGAGAAAATAAAAACCATTCATAATGTCACCTCTCACAAAGAATCATTTTGGGGTTTTGGAAATTTGGAAACATTTTGAGATGTATGTATGACTACTCAGGAAAATTCTGTAAGATGATTTTTGATTGGCTCTTATCCTGAAACCAGGACAAACTAGAGGTGAGCATCCCGACTCAGGTGACTTCTACGAAAGTGCTGCTCTGGATCTGTCCATGTCGTTCTTTGCTATCCTGTCCTCCTCCCTACCCCATGATTCTAGGATAATCACAGCACATATTCCAGACTTCATACCACTCAGGCTGGCTACTCAGAGTGACCTAATTCTCCTTTTCACAGAAGGTGACCAGAGTCGGGACACCCAGAGCCTTTTGCTGGGATTGCTAGGCAGGGTGAAAGAACTGTGCTTTTTTCTCTGGGAGAGTTGTGGTGAGGATGGTGCCCCCCAGGGCTTTAGTGCCATCTTTCTGCCTGTGGAGAGAACTGATGTAAATGAAGCCAAGCAGAGGCATGCAGAACCGAGCAACAGGAAGGGAGAGGTACAGTCCCTCTGCCACTATTTGTAGCCCTGGATCGAGCGGGACCTGTCGTGTGAGCCGGTAAGCTCTCGGTTGTGCCAATGCCAGTGTGAGATGAGCTTTTGGCCTTTGTGATGGAAGGAGCTCTGACTGGTAGAGATTCCCAGAACTGAGCTCATCACTGGATCAAAGGGTCAAAGAGCACCTCAAGGCTCTGGATATACTGCGTTACCTGACTGTGTGGTGGAAAGATTGTACCAAGTTACTCTCTTAAGCCAACACTGAGAATTTCTATCTTCCCAGACTCAAGTGATGACTTGGGCATCATCATTTCAAATTATTTCTTTTGCTAATTTTATCAGTTAAAAATGAAAACTAGCCTGGGTGCGGTGGCTTACGCCTGTAATCCCAGCAGGTTGGGAGGCTGAGGTGGGAGGATCACAAGGTCAGGAGTTTGAGACCCACCTGATCAACATGGTGAAACCCGTCTCTACTAAAAATACAAAAATTAGCCAGGCGTGGTGGTGTGCACCTGTAATTCCAGATACTCAGGAAGCTGAGGCAGGAGAATTCCTTGAACCCAGGAGGCTGAGGCTTCAGTGAGCCGAGACTGAGCCACTGCACTCCAGCCTGGGAGACAGAGCGAGACTCCATCTCCAAAAAAAAAAGAAAGAAAATTTAAGTTTGTATTCTTTAAGTTACTAATGAGGCGACATGTATTTATGGAACTGTATTCATCTCATGCGGATTTTCTGTTTTCTGCTGTTACTCCCTGACCTATTTTCCTGCTGGCGTCTTAGTTTTCTTTTCCTCTTTTTTCAAGTATAGAGTTTAACGGCATTAAGTACACGCGCATTACTGTGCCTATTACTTTCTTTGTTTTTTTGAGGCAGGGTCTCTGTCACCCAGGCTGGACTGCAGCGGCGCTCACTGCAGCCTTAATCTCCTGGGCTTGCTCTCACAGGTCTTGCTACGTTGCCTAGGCTGGTCTCTAACTCCTGACCTCAAGTGAGCCTCCCTCCCAACTCACCCTCCCAAAGTGCTGGGATTACAGGCATGAGCCACCACACCCGGTCACATTATTGTACTTTTCCTTTAAATCAATTTGTAAAATTCCTCTCTCTATAAGGTGTTTTAAGAATATTTATAAGCCGGGCGCGGTGGCTCAAGCCTGTAATCCCAGCACTTTGGGAGGCCGAGGCGGGTGGATCACGAGGTCAAGAGATCGAGACCATCCTGGTCAACATGGTGAAACCCCGTCTCTACTAAAAATACAAAAAATTAGCTGGGCATGGTGGCACGTGCCTGTAATCCCAGCTACTCAGGAGGCTGAGGCAGGAGAATTGCCTGAACCCAGGAGGCGGAGGTTGCGGTGAGCCGAGATTGTGCCATTGCACTCCAGCCTGGGTAACAAGAGCGAAACTCCGTCTCAAAAAAAAAAAAAAAAAAAAAGAATATTTATAACAGGCTGGGCGCGGTGGCTCAAGCCTGTAATTCTAGGACTTTGGGAGGCTGAGGTGGGTGGATCACAAGGTCAAGAGTTCGAGAACATCCTGGTCAACATGGTGAAACCCCATCTCTACTAAAAATGCAAAACATTAGCTGGGCATGGTGGCGCGTGCCTGCAATCCCAGCTACTCAGGAGGCTGAGGCAGGAGAATTGCCTGAACCCAGGAGGCAGAGGTTGCAGTGAGCCGAGATGGCGCCATTGCACTCCAGCCTGGGTAACAAGAGTGAAACTCCGTCTCAAAAAAAAAAAAAAAAAAAAAAAAAAGAATATTTATAACAAATATTTTCTTTTAAAAACTTGTGTGGTAGTCAAATCGTTTCCTTTGTGATCTCTAAGTTTTGGATTTGGAAAGGACTCCCCACCTGACATTAGCTAAATATTCTCATACATTTTTTTCTAAAAATTTAGTTTCACTTTTGGCTGGGCACGGTGGCTCACCCCTGCTATCCCAGCACTTCGGGATGAGGAGGAGGCAAACTAGATTAGTTTCCTGGTACAGAAGAGGTGCTCACTATCTCCTGTGGAAGCTTGGATGAATTAGATAAAGCAGTTTTCCCAAAAAAGGCATTTTGGAAATTTGTGGGGACATGTTTGGGTGTCACAGTGATGAGGAGCAGCCAGCATTTAGTGGGCAGGGACAGAGACATCTAGACATCTTGGCCTTTGTGGGACAGATCAGGACAATGTCGTTGTCCAGCCTCCTGCTTTACTTTTGAACGTCCCAGTGAATTAAATGTGTTATTAAATATAAACCAGTAGTAATTTAATACATAATGATACTTAATAATCATAGAAAATGATTATAAAAATAGCCAACAATATAGGATGGTGTTATGGAGAGGAAAGGTGAAATGAAATAAAGGCCTTTTCTCAATATGATTGTTCAATGTAGTCTAACATGTCCAGCTGCATTTTTAGTTGAAAAGAGTTTCATCATAAGCAAGAAAAATCCACTGCAAATGTGTACAGTATCGGAGATTCCTTTAGAGATTCTTAGAACCAGGCAGGGCGTGGTGGCTGACGCCTCTACTTCCAGCACTTTGGGAGGCTGAGGTGGGTGGATTGCTTGAGCTCAGGAGTTTAAAACCAGCCTGGGCAACATGATGAAACCCCGTTGTTGCAAAAAAATTTAAAAAAATTAGCTGGGTGTGTTGGAATGTGCCTGTCGTCCGGGCTACTTGGGAAGCGAAGGTGGGAGGATCGCTTGAGCCCGGGAGGCAGAGGTTTCAGTGAGCCAAGAGCTACCACTGCACTCCAGCCTGGGAGGCACAGCAAGACGGAAGGTCTCAAACAAAAATAAAAAAGATTTTTAGAACCAAATAATTAATTACTAGAGACATTAATTTCAAGGATTGCACTGAATTTTCAGAATAGCTCGGTTTAAAAGTATTTCGTTTTATTGCCATGCTATATATTCAAACATTTTAGTTTTGTTTTGTGGTTTTGAGGCAGAGAGGGGCTCTGTCACCCAGGCTGGAGCACAGTGGCACAGTCACGGCTCACTGTAGCCTTGACCTCCTGGGCTTGAGCAATCCTCCCACCTCAGCCTTCTGAGTAACTGGGACTACAGGTGTGTGCCTACAACATGTTTTTGGTTGCCAAATATCAAAAAGAAACCTACATGGTGAAAATTTCACAATGAAATTATTTCTAATTATAGGAGCTGCTTCTCGTTTTTTCAGTCTTTCCTTTACGCTGTTCCTGGAAGTCTCTTGTATAACCATTTTCTAGCCTCTGTTATTAATTTTCTCTTTTTTATTCCCTTCTCTGTTCCCCTAGAGGGTTCTTAAGTTCCAGACACTGACTGCAAGTTTACTTATTTTTAATTTTTTTTTTTTTTTTTTTGGGAGGGGGGATGGAGTTTTGCTCTTGTTACCCAGGCTGGAGTGCAATGGCATGATCTCGGCTCACTGCAACCTCCACCTCCCAGGTTCAAGCAATTCTCCTGCCTCAGCCTCCCAAGTAGCTGGGATTACAGGCTCCTGCCACCAGGCCCAGCTAATTTTTGTATTTTTAGTAGAGCTGTGTTTTACTCTCTTGGCCAGGCTGGTCTTGAATTCCTAAACTTCTGATTCACCCACCCGGCCTCCCAAAGTGCTGAGATTATAAGTGTAAGCCACTGTGCCCGGCCTATTTTTAATTCATTTTTTTTAGGCAGAGTTTTGCTCTTGTTGCCCAGGCTGGAGTGCAGTGGTGCGATCTTCGCTCACAGTAACCTCCGCCTCCCAGGTTCAAGCAATTCTTCTACCTCAGCCTCTTGAGTAGCTGGGATTACAGGCATGCACCACCACGCCCAGCTAGTTTTTCGTGTTTTTATTTTAATTTTTTAGTTTTTTTTTTTTTTTTTTTTTTCACCTGAAAGCCTTCCGTTTACTATGAGACACAACACACGCGACACAACATGCACGTCAGGCGAAACTGCCACCCAGCCACAAGCTCGGACGCACAGTGAACACGCTTCTGTCCTTTCCAAACCTTTCCGGAACTGTAACTTGACAAAAAGGCCAAAAGTACAGTGAAGAAAACGCCAAAGAAAACTGGCTTTCAGTGTTGACGAAATGGATTCTCCGGAAGTATGGACATCAGGACTGCCACGCAGGAGAACACAGACGGCTCCAAAAGCGAATGCGCTCCACACCCCCCACCCCCCGCCCCGAGTCCCGCATTTTCAGAAACGCTCGTGCACACCAGAGGCGCTCCCGCCACCAGGCTCCCGCTGCTCCATCGTCGCCGGCGCCGCTCTTCAAGGAGCCGATTGTCAAATAATTCTTTTTCCCGGTAGCTCAGCGAGGGCCCCTTGATGTACTTCTCCTCGGCCGTCCTGTAGTCCACCTCGTCCCCTGGGGAGATCGCGCAGATGATGGCCTCGCGCAGAAGCTCGTCCAGAATGAAGCGGATCCGGTCGCCGTTGGTGCGCCGGAGCCTCTCGGCGCCCACCTCCTGGTAGACGCCCTGCAGGTACTTCCCCACCAGGTCCAGCTGTCCCTCGTCCTCCAGGTAGGTCTCCACGCAGGTCACGTCCTGGCTGGAGCTCAGGAAGATCTGCAGCCCGCGCGACGGCTTCCTGCTCTTCAGGGTGGCCCGCAGGTGGCTTTCTGCGCCCTTGGCCTCCACCAGCTTCTGGTTGGCCCGGTCCCGGGCGGCCCGAGAGCGGTCAGGGCGCACTTTCCGGCAGGGCTGCCTCTGCCCCAGGGGGCTTCCCAGCGCCGGCTCCTCCGGGCTCCCCTTGCTCAGCTGAGGAAACTTGGTCCCCAGGACGTCCTGCCGGATGGATTTTCGGACAGGATAGCTTATATCAGCTGCGTAATATTCCAGGAAAGAGCCGGCAAAAGACCCGCAGCCTAACCGGACCCTGTGGTCGGTGATGAGGGAGACACACCAGCCGATGGCCTGGCCGAAGTCCTCCCTGGCTTGGTTCAGAAGTGTCTGTCCTTACAATCAAAGTGCTTTAATCTTCTAAGGGACACTGTGATACCTTTCCTCTTCGGGTTCATGTCCCCTTCGATGAACAGCACGCTCGCTTTCTTACCTCTCCGCCGGACACTCTTGACCACTGCTGGCCAGAAGGGATATTTTTGGTATTTAAGCCAGACTAGCATTCCTACTGCAAACGACCGTGGTTCGTGGTATAAAAGGATTCTTGGTGGCTCCTCATCTTCCTCGTCTTCCTCCAGTATAGAACGCATCGAATTCGACCTCACAGACACTTCGGAAGACTGGCAATCTTCCTCCAGCTTCTGGGAATCCGGCCGAGGACGTCTGGTTTCATCCACAGGGGCGCGGGAGGAGGCGGGCGGGGACTGGTAGTGCTTCTCAGGGTCAGGGACTCCCTGGGCCCCACGTCTGGCCCAGGGGACGGTGCAGCCCCGGCGGCCCTGGGCTCCAGCTGCACGGCAGGCTGCCTCTGGCTGCCATCCAAGCGCGGCCTCTTCTTCGCAGGGCATTCGCCGCGCTCCGGGCAGGCTGAGGGCTCAAGGGCTAGGGGCACAGTGAGGCTGCCCGACGGCAGACCGGGGTTGCGTCCCTCGGCGTGGGCACAGGGATCGCCTTCTCTGACCCCGCAGGGCGAGGACGGAGCTGCCCAGCGGCCTGCCTCGCTCCCACTGTCTTCCTCCGCACCACTCTCTGAAAGGGAAGACCCCCGGGGGCACAGGCTGGACTTCGGTGCTGACTTTCTTCTCCTCTTACTTGTGGGAGTCCCACTTTTGCGGTGGATTCTCGACTGGCTCCCATCCTGGGAACCATCTCCAGCTGAGAGGACCGAAAGGCCTCCAGGGTTGTCACTTTTCCTGAGTCCCTTCTTGTGGTCCACTTTGCACTTGGGGTCCTTTTCACAAGTGAACGGCCCTGACGGGCTCTGCTGCACGCATTCCCTCCTTCTGTGAGGTCCGGAACTGCCCACCACGCCTCCGCCGGGAGGAGACGAGGAGCTGGAATCGCGAGGCGAGGAGACGGGTTCCGGGGGCTTCCCTCTCGGAGACCGCTCAGCTCTACCCGTGTCCGTGGAGCTTTCTCGACTCCACACAAGCCCCTCGCTCAGCACATCCAGAGCCACGCGAAGCGACCGCCTGTAGGCCAGCTCTTCCAGGGGTGCCGCGGGAACCTCATTCTGTGAGGCCAACGAGGAGGCAATGGCCTCGATGTGAGACTTCTCAAGATCTCAACTTTGGGGCTTTTCACCTGAATTTTTTCCTCTAGGGAGGGGATTCGAACATCTAGAAAATATTCCTTTTTTCTCTTATTTTTTTTTTTTGTTGAAGTCTTGGTTCCGGCCAAAACCTTCGCAGGCCATCATCGCTTTTCCCATCGGCAGAGGGCATACTTGGCATCCGCCATCGTTCACACCCACGTGGCGGGCGGCAGTGCTTTGGCAAAGTCCTCCGAGGTCCGACGCGGGTGTGCCCGCCGCCGCCGCCGCTCCCCGCGGGGCTCGCCTCCCGGCCTTTTGTATTTTTAGTAGACACAGGGTTTCACCACGTTGGTAGTAAGGTTGGTCTCAGGTGATCCACCTGCCTCAGCCTCCCAAAGTGTTGGGATTACAGGCGTGAGCCACCGCGCCCCGCCAGACTGTAAGTTTTAATCTGCAGTGGGATTTCCCGAGAAGAGACACGTTTGCTAAGCGACGTTATCTCCAGCTTGCTTCCAGTCATAACTGGGGTAATTATTCGATGCTTTCCTGTAAACTAGGCCCGATTTGTTGGCAAGAATATTAGTACCAACTCATTTTCTCCACTTTGAGGATCTATAATTTGTTTTGGGGTGCTTTTTCTCCTCTGATTATTTTCTTGCTTTCTTTTAGAATGTACATTAAAGCCTTGTCTGTTAGCATTTTTTAAACACTAGGTGTTATTCTAGCAACCACCTGTCCTTGTGCAGACTGCCTTCTTCTCTTAAATCCAAACTTACCCAGTTTAAGTAGGGACAAGCATCTGACTACTTAGTTATGTCAATTATTAATTACAATCCTTTTGATACAACGAGTGCATTGTATATATTTTTGACATTATGTAAATAGGTAAGTTATTTTGTCAGTGAGTTTTATCTCAGGATGGTATGTTCAGACTAAAAATATTTGTTCTCGAAAGAAGTTGTTAGGTTTGATATAGTTGAGAATTGCTGGGAAAAGTGAACAGATATTTTTTGATAAGTGTATAGAGGAAAAGAAGGGAAATAATAGCCGTCACTGTTATGATGCTTACTACGAGCCAGGCATCTTACCGTATTGATATAACAGCCCTACGGAGTGGGCACTGTTGTTATCCACGTTATACAGGTGAGGAAAGCAAGGCACAGAAGAAGTAAATAACTCCCCAAGGCCCCAGCTGCCAAGTGGCAGGGACTAAATGAGCTGAAGAATTACTATGTGCCGATTACTTTCAGGAATTTTTACATCATTTGATCTATTAACCTTCACAATTCCTGTGAGATAGGGATGGTTATTATCTCCATTCTATAAAATAAGAAGTGAGGCGCAGTGTGATCATGCATTTTGCCCTAAGTTAAACAGTCTGGTAGATCCTGGATTCCAACCCAGAGTCTGTGCTCTCAGTTACACGTCGCCTGACCTCTAGCAGAAATCATCTCTGCTTTTGTTTTTTTTTTTTTTTTTGAGATGGAGTTTCGCTCTTGTTACCCAGGCTGGAGTGCAATGGCGCGATCTCGGCTCACCGCATCCTCCGCCTCCTGGGTTCAGGCAATTGTCCTGCCTCAGCCTCCTGAGTAGCTGGGATTACAGGCACGCGCCACCATGCCCAGCTAATTTTTTGTATTTTTAGTAGAGACGGGGTTTCACCATATTGACCAGGATGGTCTCGCTCTCTTGTCATGATCCACCTGCCTCGGCCTCCCAAAGTGCTGGGATTACAGGCTTGAGCCACCGTGCCCGGCCATCATCTCTGCTTTATGGTTTCTGCCACCAAGCTACACTAACTCCTGCAAAATAATAATAATAATAATAAATAAATAAATAAATAAATATCTTCAATTTTTTTCTTTCTTCATTTCTTTCTCTCCCTCCCTCCTTCCCTTCCTTCCTTCAGACAGGATCTTGCCCAGGCTGGCAGCAAACTTCTGGCCTCAAGCAGTACTCCCACTTCGATCTCCCAAAGTGCTGAGATTATGGGTGCAAGCCACCACACCGAGTCCCTTCCCTTCCACTTCCCTTTCTCCTTCCCCTTCCCCTTCCCTCTGTGGCCCAGGCTGGAGTACAATGGCATGATCTCTGCTCACTGCAACTTCTGCCTCCTGGGTTCAAATGATTCTCCTGCCTCCGCCTCCCAAGTAACTGGGATTACAGGTGCATGCCACCACGCCTGGCTAATTTTTGTATTTTTAGTAGAGATGGGGTTTCACCATGTTGAGCAGGCTGGTTTCAAACTCCCAACATCAGGTGATTCATCTGTCTCAGCCTCTCAAAATGCTGAGATTACAGGTGTGAGCCAACGCACCAGCCTTCTTTCTTTTTAAAAAATACATATTATTGCCACTGAGCCATTCTGAAGTTCTTTTTTCTTTTCTTTTTTGAGATGGAGTCTTGCTCTGTTGCCCAGGTTGGAGTGCAGCACCGCAACCTCAGCTCACTGCAACCTCCACCTCCACCTTCCTAGTTCAAGCAATTTTCCTACCTCAGCTTCCTGAGTAGCTAGGATTACAAGTATGCACCAATACGCCTGGCTCATTTTTGTATTTTTATTAGAAGTGGGGTTCCACCGGCCGGACACGGTGGCTCACGCCTGTAATCCCAGCACTTTGGGAGGCCGAGGCGGGTGGATCACAAGGTCAAGAGATTGAGACCATCCTGGTCAACATGGTGAAACCCCGTCTCTACTAAAAATACAAAAAACTAGCTGGGCATGGTGGCGCGTGCCTGTAATCCCAGCTACTCAGGAGGCTGAGGCAGGAGAATTGCCTGAACCCAGGAGGCAGAGGTTGCGGTGAGCCGAGATCGCGCCATTGCACTCCAGCCTGGGTAACAAGAGTGAAACTCCGTCTCAAAAAAAAAAAAAAAAAAGAAATGAGGTTTCACCATGTTGGCCAGGCTGGTCTTGAATTCCCGATCTCAAGTGATCCACACGTCTCGGCTTCTCAAAGTGCTGGGATTATAGGCCTTAGCCACCACGCCCAGCCTCTTTTTTTCTTTTTAGGTATGGGGTCAGTCTTGCTATGCCACCCATGCTGGAATGCAGTGGCATGACCATAGTTCACTGCAACCTCAAACTCCCGGGCTCAAGCAAGCCTCCTGCCTCAACCTTTGCAGTAGCTGGGACTACAGGTGTGTGCTACCATGCCTGGTTTATTAATTTTTTTTTTAGACGGAGTCTTGCTCTGTTGCCAGGCTGGAGTGCAGTGGCACCGTCAGCTCACTGCAACCTCTGCCTCCTGGGTTCAAGCGATTCTCCTGACTCAGTCTCCCAAGTAGCTGGGACTACAGGCCTGTGCCACGATGTCCAGCTAATTTTTGTATTTTTAGTAAAGATGGGGTTTCGCCATGATGGCCAAGATGGTCTCGATCTCTTGACTTCATGATCTCCCTGCCTCTGCCTCCCAAAGTGCTGGGATTACAGGCCTGAGCCACTGCACCTGGCCTAAAAATTTTTTTAGAGACAGGGTCTTGCTATGTTACCCAGGCTGATTTTAAACTCCTGGGCTCAAGAGATCTTCCTGCCTCAGCCTCCCAAGTAGCTAGAATTACAGGTGTGAGCCACCATGTCCAATTCATTTTGAAGTTTCTAGAAGATCTGGGCACTTTTGGTGTGTAGGAACTGTGGCAGCAGCTTCAGAGATGCTGCTGGAAGCCTTGAAATTTGACAGCAAAAATGGGAGAGAGAGCTGGGAAGTTGTAGCACACGGAAACTGCAGAAGCGGCAGAAACTGCAGGCCTGGGGCCTTGAACCGCTGCCCTGCTGTCTCTGCTCTTTGGCTGGCTGTTCCATGAAGGGACTTGTAGCAATAGCACAGACTGCAGCAAGTGAGGAGGAAGGGTAGGCTGCCGTTCATCCAAGTTCTACCTGTCGGTGGCGATCATCAATAGCACCCAGTATCAGGAGGCCCGGGACATCGGCCTTGCTCTCAGAACTGTGTCCTTGATACAGCAAATAAGGAGACTGAAAGGTTTGCTTCAGATTTTGAATGTAGGAAATGTCTTTCTACCACATTTTGCTTTTCTCCACTTCTGTGTTATTATTATTATTATTTTTGAGATGCAGTCTCGCTCTGTCACCAAGGCTGGAGCGCAGGGGTGTGATCTTTGCTCACTGCAGCCTCCGCCTCCCAGGTACAAGCAATTCTCTGCCTTAGCATCCCAAGTAGCTGAGCTTACAGACATCTGCCATGATGCTCAGCTAATTTTTTGTATTTTTAGCAGAGATGGAGTTTCGTCATGTTGGCCAGGCTGGTCTTGAACTCCTGGCCTCAAGGGTTTCGGCCTCCTAAAGTGCTGGGATTACAGGTGTGAGCCACCACATCGGGCGTTCTCTCCACTTTGAAAGCTGCCTCCTCCTCTATTCCTGTGTGTACTTGGGAGCCTGGGCTCAGTGGCTGCTTGGTGACCCTTGGCGTTCTTTTCAGGCCTCCAGATTGGCTCTGTCCCCATCCCCCGTGGTAGCTCCCCTCTACTCGTTCCTCTCCCCAAGCCCACAGAGCTGTGGCCCCCTCTGCAGGTGACCTTGCCTGGAGTGGAGCTGAGACAGCGAAAGCACACCAGGTACGGAGAGTTCCTCAACTTCCCTTCCTTCCTCTTGCAAACGGCTCTATTTTTAATCCCTTCATAGATCTGTCTTTCCTCCCTCCTGCTGCTGAGAAAGCAGCGGCCCTGGACCCGTCCGAGACACATTACTCGTCTCTGCCTCATGTGAGTCAGCATTTGCTGCGGTAACAAACAACCCAAAACCTTAGTGTTTGCGATTAACAGCCTTTGTTTCTCTTTCAACGTCCTGGACTTGGCAGGGCTGGGCTGGGCTGGGCTTCAGGCTGCAGGTGTGGTTCAGGTCTGGACCACAGCTCTCTTTCGGGGTCCTCAGCAGACCCTGGCAGTGGTCAGTGGCTGCCTGGCCTATTATTCTCAGGAAAGAGGTACAGGAGGGGACACAAGGCCATGCCCATCCTCTCAAGGCCTCTGCTTGGAGCTGCCACATTGGCACTTTCTCCTGCAACCCACCAGTCAAAGCACAATCATGATCCAGAGTCAACGGGGCAGGAAAACACATTCTCCGCCTATGGGGTGGGTTTTTTTGCGATAAGATAACATAGTCTATGCCTTCTTTAAAATCTTCACCTCCCACAACAGTTATATTTATTCTCATTCATTTTCCTGGTCCATCTCTTTCTTCTCAATCTGC